GTAATTTGTTAGAGCAAAGAATTTTTATTTTCTTTTGAATAAATACATAGGAGCACTTATTAGTTAGAATACAACAAATTAGATAATTGATAAATAAAGAAAAATTATTGGCATAAAAGATGATAGAACTATTAAGTATATTATATAAATGGAGAAAATCTTCAGGGATCCCCTATTACTGAGCCATGAATATTGGTCAGAATTTTGATAAACAGAGGAAAGGGACATTCATGACTGAGTATGAGCAAGACCGTGTAGAAGATAAAATTCATTGTATATATAATACTGAGGACTTTAGATATGTGAGGGGCTGTGCTGTTATATATTAATGGATAAGTACCTTGAGTTCCATTAAAAAATAATAAAATAGTGTCCTTATGTTATTAATGAGAAAACTAAGACACAAACATGTCAACCGTTTGACCACTGGTGTGGAGATGGATGAAGCCAGAATTTGAACCCTGACAGTCTGAGTCCAGAGTCATGTTTTTAACCTCAACTTTATTGAGTCCATAAGAACTGGAGCCTTGAATTAATGCTTGTCAAGAAGCAACAAGGTGATCAGTATGTCTGGACCAGGGTGGCAATGGGTAGAATAGTAGGAAATGAGGTCTGAGAGGTGGCAAAGGTCAGATTGTGTATGGCATTGTAAGCCACTAGAATGACCTTGGTTTTTATTCTGAGTGAGATGAGAAGATACTGGGTGGCTTAACCTGTTTTATATTTTTTAATAATTACGTTGGCTTTAGAGTTGAGAGTAGATTGTAGGATGCAAATGTAAGAGTAGGGAGAAGAAATGAGATCTTCCAAATTAGAAAAGGATAAAGGAAATAAGTAATAAAGATCTGAGGCATAGCCTATGGGAAAATTACAAATTGAAAGAGTATGTAAAATCTAAAGTACATCATGGGCATTAAAACCAGAACTTGTGGTCCAATTGCTTGCTTTCAAATTACTAATTATATACATTCTTGAACTTCTTATCTGAGCCTCTGACTCCTCTTCTATAAAATACAAATAGTAATGCATACTTTGAATGATTACTACAAAGATCAGTCATAAAATTGTTAGACCACACTGCATACAGTAGCAATGAAATAATTAATAGCCACCACCATTATCATTATCATTGTCATCATCATCATCATCATCATTTCATTATCATCATCATGGAGATGTTAAGAAGCAAACCCAAGGCTAAATGATGCTATGGAATAATTTCTCCAAAATCTCACAGAGAATTGGGATGAAAACCTAGGTAGTTTTCTTTCTTTAACTAAACTCCTTTAGATGACAAGGTATAGGGGAAATCTAAAATCTGCCTCTATTGGATTGCATTCAGACAACAAGACAATCTGCATGTACTTCTTCATTGGGATAATATAATTCACATGCTTAGTAGAGAAAAGGGTGGTTGACCTCATCTCAAATGCACAAGCAACTAGATCAAATTTGTTATGAATAAATTGAACCAAAGAAGGGATCTTCATATACATGAGGATCCAAATACATTTTCTCAGTTTGCAAAGTCACTATAGACACTAGGATTGGAAGGAGGGAGTGAGGCCTGGCCTAATAAGAATGGAATAGGTGAGCAGCTCTGATGACCTGAAGTACCTACCTGTACTGCTTCTCTCTTAAATTTCTCAGCTTCACCTTTCTCCTTTTCTTCCTTGTCATTATTTTTCTTCTCTTCTTCTTCAAGCTCACTGCAATAAAAAAAGAGAAGATACAAGCTAAATACAATTTCTCATTCTCTTTGGTAATGTATTTTCAGAAGGAATGAGGATCTTCTAGATCAAAGGTTAGATTCAGTCTTCAGTATAATTTTATCCAGTCTAAGAGGTGGTAATATTTTGCCCATTTATGCAGATAAATTCAGTAGCTACCAACAGCATTTAAAAATTAAAGCCAGCATGATTTTTTATTACTATGTGAATTTCAGGTGGTCTTTTTTCTATTAGTCAGTGACTTCAACTAATATAGCCTCAATTGCCTTGATTTTTAAAAAAATTGTGAAACTTTTCCTGTTTAAATAACTACCAGATCAATGATGAGTTCAAGGGATGAGACCAAGTCAAATAATGGGTCCATAATCAAAATAAACCATGTTTCACTATAACATAAAAATTGTAAGTATTATTTTAATGGCATTAATAATATTCAAGTTGAAATTCAAGTTTTAGAGTGCAATAATGATCCAAGCCCAAGAAGTTTCAACAACTAATATTTGGAGGTTGATCATGAGCCTGACTGGCATTCTTGCCATTTTCTACTAACATGAAGCACAGTAAGACTGGAAAAAATCCTTAGCCTTTATCACGTCTAACCTAGTCATCACTCGACTAGCAAATCCAGCAGGTGAGAGAAAAGCCCTAATTTCTGCCCTGCCCTGTTAATCTCTTTTTTAAGGAACTTAAATCTTATACTTAACACTGGACAAAGACATGTGAAAGTTAAGGAGCAACACTGACTTTGAACCTCTTTCCGGAGATATTATTTAAATATTTTTCTCAAAATTTATTTTAACTTGAGGCTCCGTAGATTAGGAGTCTAAGAAGGAGAAGAACTAGAGGTGGTAATATGTCATTAGCTTCTCCTGTACTTTTTTATTTTTATTTTTTGTTAATCCTCACTAGAAGATATTTTTTCCATTGCTTTTCAGAGAGAATGGAAAGGAAGGAGAGAGGGGGAGAGGGAGAGAGAGGACGAGAGAGAGAGAGAGGGAGAGAGAGAGAGAAACATCGATATGAGAGAGATACATGAATTGGCTGCCTCCCGAATGCTCCCCCACCAGGGCCTAGGGAGAAAACCCACAATCAGGTATGTGCCCTTGACCAGGAATTGAACCTGTAACTCTAGGTGCAGGCTTCTGCTCTAACCACCTAGCACACTGGTTAGGATGAGCTTCTCCTATATTGTCCCACGCAATGGAGTAACACAGTGGCCTATTAGGCCCTGGACCTGGCTTACCAAGAAGACATTTTAATAAACAGCTATGACATGGGCCTGCCTCTTTGGGGTTTAACTCTCTACACTAAACCACTTCTCAGAATATTTATTTCACCTATGTATAGTAATATCTCTGAAAGAATAAATATGATTCTCTCTAGTCCATTTCTTATTCAGGTTACTTTAAGAGCCTTTATATAACAGACCCACAGACCTTTGTCTAAATGGTTTTCCCTTAACCAATATCTGAATATAATCACAGAATTGTAAAATGTCAGGGGTTAGAGAGAGACCAAAGAGATCATCCATCCCATCCAGATTATCAAAATTCTGCTCTCTCTTTGTTATTAATATTAATTATCAAATGTTAAGGAAATTTTGGCACTAAATTGAGACTTTTCCCCCATTACTTAATTAGCAGATACAAGGATTATATTTAATAGAGGGTAACATTGTCACTATGTGATTCAACATTACATAATGTCTTGTCCAAGTGCTTTTAAAATTACCTAGCATACAGTATATAATCTATACATTTCTGGGAAAAAAAGTGAGATTCAGGGATGATTAATCGCAGAATTGTCCTGGCACTAAAGGGGTCTGTAAACATCCTCCTCATTCTCCTGAGCGTGCGTACTACCATCCAGTTGTAAAAGAAGGCTGACACAATTGATAAAAAAAAATATGTATGTTGTGTTGCACATCAGTCTATTAAAGCTATGAAAGATCAGAATCAATAGGCCTCAAAAGAGAGGAACTGATAATATTGCTGAGCCTTCAAGAGAAAGGAAATCTTTCCATTTGTGTCAATTTGGATGAAACTTGACGGCACTATGCTAAGTAAAATAAGTGAGGCAGAGAAGGACAAATACTGTATGATCTTCTATGTGGAAACGAAAAAAAAGCCGAATTCATAGAAACAGACATTAGAATGGTTACCAAGGGATTGGAGGGCAGGGGGGCAAATGGGAAGATGTCATTCAAAGGGTACAAACTTCTGGAAACTTCCAGTTATATGTCAAATCAGCTCTAGGGACCTACCATACATGGTGATTACAGTTAACAATACTGTATTATATGCTTGAAAGTTGCTAAGAGCAGATCTTAAACATTCTTATCACACACACACACACACACACACACACAAATTCTGTGATGTGGAGGAGTTAACTAAAACTATGGTGGTAATCATTTTGAAATCAACACATTGTACACCTTAAACATATACAATGTTATATGTCAATTATATCTCAAGAAAGCTAGGAAAAAATAAAATTAAAATAATGAGCAAAAAAAGAATATTGCTGAAACTTGATTTGTCTTTAGAGTCTGAGAAAAAAAGAGAAAAACATGCTCAACTAAAAAATAAAGAAATATCTGAAATAAAGATGTGGAAGAGAGAACAAGTATGACATCTGGAAAAGTTGACACCTTACAGGAAGTCACTTGTTAAAGTGGGGGAAGTGGACTTAAAACCGGAGAACAACAACAGGAGTGGAGAGAAAAAGGAATGTGTTAGAATCATTTGAAAACTCTAAAACAACTTAGCAACTCATCAGATATTATGGATAAAACAAATTTTCAATTCTAAATTACCAACAAAAAATGGCTTCAGCTAACAGAAAGTTATTGAGAAAGTGAGTCAGTTTAAAGGTAAACTTTTAAACTGTGTCAACTTTTCCCAAATAAATTATTAGGCTTATACTTTGCAGCTATTGCTAAGAGATAAACTACATAAAGGTAAATATTGTATAGAGCTCTAATATGAGAGTAATCCAGCATCTACATACAGAAAGATTTTGTTCTGCTACTTGTAAAATTATCTATATAATAAAAGCCTAAGCAACCATTATGGTAGAATGACCAGAATGACTGGTCACTATGATGTGCACTGACCACCAGAGGCAGATGCTCAATGCAGGAGCTGCCCCCTGATGGTCAGTGTGTTCCCACAGGGGGAGCAGCTGCTAAACCAGTAGCTAGGCTCACAACTGGTGAGCGCAATGGTGGTGGTGGGAACCTCTCCCACCTCCACAGCAGCGCTAAGGAGCAACGAGCCAAGCAGTAAGGAGGCTGCAGCTAAGGAACAGCAAGCTGAGTGGTAAGGAGCAAGCAGGTGGGTGGTAAGGAGCACAGGATCCCAGATTGTGAGAAGGATGTCTGACTGCCAGCTTAGGCCTGATCCCCTGGCCTAAGCTGGCAGTTGGACATCCCCTGAGGGGTCCTGGACTGAAAGAGGGCACAGGCTGGGCTGAGGACACCCCCCCGCCCCCACCCCCCTAGTGCATGAATGTCATGCAATGGGCCTCTAGTAAAATTATAAAAGCATGTAGAAAAAGTACAGTAGATTAAAATAACTAGAAAGTCAAAGTCAAAATTTTATGTACTAATCATTAACTAGGAGTGAAAATAGTAGTATTTCTTCCATATTTGGGAAGTGACAAAGAACAAACATGATAAATATCTGTGCATTTTTTTGTAAATTGGACTAATATGAATGTTACATATATTATATGTAATGTACTAATATGAATGTACTTTATATTATAAATAAGAGATTTGAATTACATAAATTGAAATTAGTAAATTAAAAAGATGGATATTAATAATCTGTACCTGAAAACAGAAAATGAAGAAAAGCCGAATATGGAGAATATCCCTTACAAAGTTAATAACACTCCAATTTTCATGAAATGAAACTAAAAATTTGAATTATCATGCAATAAAATTGGTCCTCTGCAAACTCCTAATCAAGATCATTTTCCCTCAGGTTAAAGGGTTTTTTTGTTCCTTTCAGGCATGAAGATTGAACAGGAAAACATTTCTGCTGATGAGATAGCTAGAATGCTATTACAGAGAAAAACAGTGCCAAGGCATAGCACTAGCATTCCTGAGAAAATTACCTTTGCAGCTTCTCTTTTAGCCTTTGTTCTTGCTCTTTCTTGTTGTTGACTATAAGTAACAGGATGAGGAGTATGGGGAAAAAGAGAAGAAATGAATCTTAGTACAGTTGATTAGATACTTCACATTTACCAGTTGACCATTCATTGCTTTGACTATTCTCAAGTAACACCAAAGATCCAATCATAGTTGTTTGTAATTTTATTGGAATAGATTAGAATGACTCACCTATCCTCAAGAGAATGGGATGAAAGAGAAAGTCCCTTACTGAATAAGTCTGTTTAGCTTCCCAGCAAATACATTGCAATAAGAATTTATTTGCTGATTCTTTTGCATCTGCAACCACTCTTTATAAATTGGTAATATTTGGCTTTTGAGAAGCAATATATCATGGCAGTTAGGAGGAAAAACTCAAGCCAGATTACATAAGAAGCACAAAAAATTCTTAATCTCTTTAAATGGGGAGGATAAAGGAGAGACAGGAAAGGTAATAAGAATACTTTTTTCGTTAGACTGTTGTGAGCCTGAAATGAGTTGATACATTAAAGCAATTAGAATAAGTATCTGGTCCATAACAAAATGATTGACAAAAGTGGTATAAGTGATTGGTATTCTCATCATTGTAATCATTATTAAGAGTGACTTCTCCAAAAACTGGCATATGATGTAAGTGAAGTGAGAGTGACAGTTCTTAATTATTTTGGATAACTAACAGGTTGTAAGCTGAGTTCAGTGAATGGATCTACAACACAAGCAATTTAATCATATTATATAGACAGAGAAATATAAAATAACTTGTGAAAATGTTTTACTATGTTCCAATCAACATAAGACCTGCCCATTAATCAAATTAAAAGTTTTATAATTTAATGTATTTAATATATTTTATTGATTCTTTACAGAGAGGAAGGGAGAGGGATAGAGAGTTAGAAACATCGATGAGAAACACTGATCAGCTGCCTCCTTCCTGCACACCTCTTACTGGGGATGAGCCCGCAACTCAGGTACATGCCCCCGACTGGAATCGAACCTCAGATCCTTCAGTCTGCAGGCCGGCGCTCTATCCACTGAGCCAAACCTCAGTGGGGCAAATTAAAACTTTTTAAAAGTTGAAGAGTGTTTTAATATGATTTTGAAGTGTGCAAAAAAAAAAAGACTATAGAGGGAAGAATGATTCTCAAGAAAGTCAATGCCCTTTACTAACATATCCATAAAATATGAGGTGAAAAAACTTTGTTCCTTTTGGATATGAAATTTGAGAGTGATGGGAGAATATTATTTATATAGCTCCAATATTGTGAGGTTTCTCATACTTATTTAAAAGGAAAACTGATCTAAACTTTATCATGAGTCTACATTGACTAAAAAATTCAAGAAGCATTTTCTTCCCATACAGAGAAATTATCAGGAAATACCAGAGTTGACCAGTAGATGGCAGAATGACTTCCAGTCACTGGGAGATTAATGTAGAGGTAAAGAAAAAAAGACTGAAACATGCCAACATACAGCTAAACACAACTACCACAGGTTGATCATGTTGATTTTTCTATCATTCACAACCTCTCTGAGCCTTTAATTTTCCATCTAAAACGTACAATAATACAGAATTTATTTCATGGTTGTTGATAAGATTAAATGAGATTAGGTAGCAAAGCTCTTGGCAAGAACGTGTGATGATTATATGCATTAAATGAATGCTGATGACAATGAATACATAGTCACTATCTTGGCTTCCATCAACAGATGTTTAGTGCTTCCATGGTCCAAATACTATGGGATCAATCTTCTGGGTTCTGTTGTTTTCTACCAGAAAAGACTGCATGACTAAATCCTAAATCCAGAGATTCTGGCAGATAGAAAATAAATTGGAGTATCCCTTTGGACAAAGATCAAAAGACTTACAGAATTATAGGCTTGTTTCGGGGGACATAGCATGTCATTTATTGTACAGTGATACTTTAGTCCCCTTTAAACGGGCATCCAATTCCTACACAAGAAAGTCACCATTCCCGAAGCAGCCACTCCTTCTCTAACGGTTAAAAAGTTCATCTTCATGTTGCACTCAGACCTGTCCCCCATAGCTCTCATCCATTTTAATTCTATTCCTTGAGGTCACACAAAATGAGTAGACAGGTAGTAAATTAAAATAAAATTTTCTAAATTTTGCTGTGTACCATAATGATATTTTACATGTAATCTCCTCCATTTCCTATTTCAGCTGGTAACCCTGCACAAAACTAAAAGCAATGAGTAAGATTATCATAGAGTGTTTTCTTTTCTGAATAAAAGATTCTGAGTTCTGAAATATCCTAAAAGAAATTATTCTGTTTCTTTTTACATCACAATAATTACCTGAAAGCTCTCTACTTGCTATTTTGGGTTTGTGCTTTTTTTTTTTTTTTTAGCTTATTTAAATGTGACACCCAAATTTGAATGCTACACTGAAGAGGAAAATGTATTTTTTGCAATTGTTTGACAATTTCTCTTAGTTCTATCTCCCCACTCCTTCAGAAGCTCTGAGCTCTACTCACAAGAAGACCTCACACATGGAACAGGTGTTGCCATGCATTTTCCCATCTGGGCCCTGGATGGGGTCATTCTCTCTGGTGCAAGGCAGTTTGCCACTCCTCACATACTTGCGGTATTCACTGCACAATTCCTGTGAAATCGAGGAGGCAAATTGAGGTATTGAACACATGTTGGATCATATTGCAAGAATAACTGGTGATTGGACTTTTTCTTAAGTGGGGATCAGCAATTGGCTTATTTTAGAATAGTTCTTAATTTTGAAGACATGAATATTTTTAAGTGATGAAATAATGGATCCTCAACTGAAAAATAGTCACATATATGTCTATGCACACATGTAAACAAACACACAAACAGAAACTGTCCGCATGTTTCCTACAGTTTCAGGGAACGTATGGGTTCACTGAATGAATGCCATCTATGGATCCCAGGTCCACATGCCTCTGACTTGGAGAAGGTCCCCTCACCTCAAAGGAAGTTGTCTCAGATTGTCTTTTATTTCTCGATTCAGTTTCCTTCTTTTTCTTTTCTTCTTCTTCTGCTTGGCTAAAAGAGAGTGATTAAGAAAGAAAGAAAGAAGTCATAAAATCTCCAGGTTGAAATTGATCTCAAATATCATTTAATTGCTATCGTTAATAGTAATTTAATTCTGTGCCTAACCTTGCACTCATACTAATGAAATCCTCACAAGTGCACGTAACAGAAGTACTATTTTAAGCCAAATTTACAGATGAGAAAACTGACAGGACATAGAACTAATAAATTCAGACTAAGGATGTCAAACCTAGTCAGAGGTGGTTTTCTAAACTTGCAGTACACACAACTGGTTATTATCTAGCTTTGCTCTAATCTGCCAATTTTCTACCTATCTCATCCTTGAAATCCCATGGTAGGTCATTTCAGCCTTGAAGTCCTCAGCTTTAGAAAGCGCCTCCTGGCATTGAGCCGAACCTGTCTCCCACAGGTTCCACTCACTGGCCCCACTTTCACCCATGGAGACAACCTAGAACTAGTTCTGTTTGCACGTTTAAAGATAAAAACTACTTGGACATTTCCAGGCTGTCACTTTCCCTTGGCCAAGTGTGCTAAGCCTTCATAATTGTCAAAGGCCATGGTTTTCATGCATTTCTCCATTTCCTCTAAATATGTTTTTGTCTTCCTGTTGAAGTGGCTCTCTCATAACTGAACATAGTAATGAAGCAGAAGGTTAATCTGAACTCAGTGCTTACATTTTCTAGAATCCCTTTCATAATAATAATTATCTAGGGGAACAGAGAAACGTTAAACAAATAGTCACATGTATAAATTTACAACTACTGACTGTGATTACTATGATGAAGGAAAAGTTCTGGTTACTATGAGGGAGAAATTTAGGGGGTAGGAGCATAGAGTAGGTTTTAACAAGCTCTTCAGGCTGACAAGATACATGAAAGGAGTCAACTCCACCAGATCCTAGTCATTCCTTATTCTAAATCATTCCTCCAGGTTCTGTGTATGGACTGAGACACTGCTTTGCATATTGGTTTGTTTGCTAAGGGGATCAGTGGTGTGATTTCAGATAACTTCATACTCCACTCTGCACAGGTCAGGTCCTTGGTCTGCATCTTTTTTCACTTCCATGGGAGCTTAACCAATCAGTGATCAAGATATGGGAATTATTCTTACATAATTATGACATGGTGCAAAAATGTGGCACAATAATGCCATTGATAAGAAACAAATCCAATTTAAAAAATAAAATATCAAAGCTAAAAAATAAGGAAACAAAGAAGAAAGGACAAAACCCTCCCACATTTTCCAGCTACAGCACTACTCACAAGAAGACCTCACACATAGAGCAGGTGTTGCCATGCATTTTCCCATCTGGGCCCTGGATGGGGTCGTTCTCTCTGGTGCAAGGCAGTTTGCCATTCCTCACATACTTGCGGTATTCACTGCACAACTCCTGTCAAAACAGAGAAATAAGTGGGGCATATGTTTCATTTCTATTCAAAGCAGCAGATCAAAACATAGGCATTGGCAGAAACTAATGTAAGGTTTCTTCGAGCCCAGGATTTTAGCTGTTTCTCTCTCAAATGTAAAGTTCAATTAAACAAATAACATTTGAGATGGGAACAAATAAGACATACTAGGATGTCACAATATAATAAAAGAAATAGACAAATTAACTCCACTATAATCTAAACGGACTAAAATAAGTGTGAACATAGAGGTACAATAAAATCTGAGAACTCAAGAAGTTGGGACCATGAAATCTGATTGGTCAAATATTGATCAAGTTGCCACAGCATTCTTGTCAATGTCATCCCCAGATTGAAGGGGTTAAGATTTTCTGGGGTTTCTGTAGGGCAACATTCCAACCTTTAGGCTCTTTGAAGTATGTTCAAATTATCATGCTAAGTAGGACTTATTGGATGTATTCAACTCACTGCAAACGAAGGTGCTTTTCCAGGTTCTCTCTTATTCCTTGCTTCTGCCTTTTTCTTTTCTTGTGCTTCTGCTTGGCTGAATGAGAGAAAATGAGAGGAGCCATAGGACCAAATATACAGGTAATAATTTCTCGATATTCCTGCATTGCTAAACTGTCCTCCCTCCTTAGGAAGAAGCGATTTTGTCCTTTTATCACTACATACCAATGAGAAGCAACAAATCAGCCTCCAGTATGGAAAGATACCATAACTTCTTCATAGTTTCTGCTTAACTTTGAGAGATAGCGTGTAATTGTGCATCTGGAAAACTTGCTTTCTCTAAATTACCTTTCTTGCCTGTGGTCAGAAAAGAAACATCATTAATGTCCATAAAGGAGATTATCAAAACTAGTGCTGTGGCGACATTACACCTGGAGGCTGAAGGTGGCCGTAACAAAGCGTATCTACTGGTCCCCTCGTTTCATGACAGGAGGTGAGGCAGAGAGGGTTTTGGCTACACTTTTAGGGTATGACGACAACTAGTCAAGGTCTTTCCCCTTAAGTCTATGAACTATCTACCTCATCATGCACACTAACTTTATTAATTCATCTTAAATGTATTGCTTACTCATGGCTATGTTATCTAAAGACAAAATGTATGGTGGGTAGAAAAAGGCCACATGTACCATGGTAACCCAAATGAGTCTAAATTTGCTTTGAACAATAGAATTGCATGATATGTATAGTTAACTGATGTTATTTCAACCATGCATGCTTAGCAATCAATCAAGTGGCCATAGATTCTAAATGTGAATTGATTACTTGAACTAAGCTCCATCACATAAATGAAGAGTAGCTCCAAATTTTTAAAGTAAGCTGTCAATTGTAACTTAGTGAAAAATGTTATATAAAGCAACATGTATTGTAATTTCATAAGATTCATGGTTGTTTCATGGGCAACTTTAACTCTAGTAATCAATTTCTACATTATGTGTTAACTTTGGGCCCTTATGCCTCTGGAAGACGAGATGCCGATAAACTTGTATAAACTGTTCAAATATGAAATTTCAACAGTAGGAAAAATTTGGTATTTGTACAAGTTCATGCTTATTAGAATGTTCCAGTGCTAAGAGAATGAGTGACAAATGAGGGCAAAACAGATACCTTGAAATAAATAGCTCTAGGTACTTACTCCCATCATGGTTACTAACATTTTCAGTGTAACTTACTCAACTCACTTCCCTATTTCAAGCCACAGATTCCTCATATCTGAAACAAGTTGGTTTTTTAGTTTAGCTGTAAGGTCCCTTTACTTCTTGACAACCTAAAGCTCTATACTCACTAGAAGGCTTGACACATGGAACACAAGTTGCCATGCATTTTCCCATCTGGACCACGAACAGGGTCATTTTCTCTGGTACAGAAAAGTATTCCATTCTTCGAATGACCCTTATATTCGCTGCAGAGTTTCTGAATAATGAAAATGAGATAGTTGAGATTTAGTTTTATGCTTATAAATTTTAGATTCTCTTTTTTTAATTTAAATTCTTTATTGTTTAGTGTATTACATAAATCTCCTTTTTCCCCCATTGACCTCTCTTCAGCTACCCTAACCCCAGCACATACCCCGACACTCCCTCACCCATTGGTCTGTGTCCATTGGTTATGCTCATATGCATGCATATAAGTCTTTGGGTTCATCTCTTACTTCCTCATCCCCCACCTACCCTCATAGGTTGGATTCGCTTTATAAAAAAAATATTTAAAAAGAGGAATTAAGAATAAAAATAAAACTCTTAGGATTTAGGCTCATCCTCAAATTTTTAAGTTAAGGGGATATAAATATAAATGTGGCTTAGCTCTTCTATCATTCAAGTGAAAAAGATAAGGAATTACAACATAAAAAGCTAAGAGATGGCACAAGTCAGAATTAAGTGCATACAAGCACAAAGGAAAGAATAATTCGTGGAAGTTCAGAAAAGAGCTTAGATCCGATTTGTATCATTAGGATAATTTCCAGGAACATAATGTGGCAAAAAGTCCTTCAAGAGGAAGAATTATATGTAAAGACATAGAGGCATAAAAGGACATGTTATTTCAAGCTAATCCTTTGTTGTCATGAGCATAGTGGCTAAAGACATGGAGGGCAAAGAGAGAAAGGTTTGGGAACTGGTCAAAAAGGAGACCTTGAAGATAAGTCAAAACCAGGCCCCTAAATTTTGAAAGGAATTTGGACTTTATTCTTAGGAAATGGGAAAATGATAAATATTTATAGCAGAGAAGAATACAATCAAACCTTTGTTTTAGAAAGACTATCCAGCGAGATATGTGGAGGACTTGAGTGACTAGAGACTGAAATAAGGGAAACTATAGAAAAAAAGAAAGGAAGAAAGGAAAGGAAGGGAAAAATTGGAGTCAGGTAATGCTTTGATATATACCTTCATTTAGGAATAGGGAACTATTTTACTAATATGACTTGATTAATTTCCTCCAAATAGAGCTTAAAAATTGTAATATCATAGTTATTATTTTATTCTTATAATTCTTATAAAATAATAACTATAAATTAGTTTCCAGAATACCTAGTAGTAGTGAAGAAAAAATGAACCAATATTGAAAATGTATTCCAGAGTAAAATGCACATACACATACATACCATAAAAGTTCTAATTAGATTGATCAAACAAATCCTCACTCACCTCGATTTCTCTTTTAACTTTAACTTTTTCTTCAGCCTTTCTCAGGTTTTCATCTGCTTTATGTTTTTCTTCTGAAAAACGCCGTATTCTGCAGAAAGAAACAAAAGCAAATAAATGATTATAATGCTTTAAATCTTCATTTTATAAAACTGTCATGTAGGCACAAGAGGAAAAACAGCTAGATATTCCTGAGTTCTTGTACAAACACTTTCCGATCACCTTAAAGTCCCTTATCAAATTGAAATCTCCACTATTTCCCCAAAGAATCCCTTTCTTTCATTTTGCCTTCATGCATGCCATTTCCTTTCATTGTAATGATCTTTTTTAAAAAAACACAAAAAAAAACACAAGAGAAGACTGACAGTCAATAAGCAGTCATAGAAAAAGTTTTCCAGTTACCAACTACCATGATTGTTATGAAATAAAATCAATAAGAATTATAAGAATTGAATCTCAATTAGCGATTTTAGGAGGTCTTATCCAAGGAAAGATAACATTAAAATGCAATCCATGGAAGAAAAAACATTAACTGGTCAAGACTGAGACAAGCTGGCATAGGGGAGCACAGAGAAAGAACGTAGAGAGTTCAAGGATCTAAAGAAAGTGTGATGATCACAATGAGAAAGTTACTGAAGAAACAAAGTCTTGGTACCTGCTTTTATCCTCATTTTGTACTAAGACTATCTCATAGAAGGCTTACAAAATTCATGAGAGGAAATGTTAAGAAATATTTTGTTATCCAGCCTTATCACCGGGTAATAAAATCCATTCATAATCAGAAATAGACAAACATCTTTAGGATCTATTTAGTAGGTGGTATTATGATTTGTAGAGAACATAAAACTGCTCAAAATATCTGAACAACAAATCTTCACCTCAACACTATATATACACACACACTAGAGGCCCGGTGCACAAAAATTTGTGCACTCGGGCAGGCTCAATCCCTAGGTGCAGGCCCTGGTCAGGCTCAGAGCAGGGCCGATTGGGGAGTTGGGGCGCCGCCCCCTGTCATGCACAGAGCTGGGCCATCGGGAGGTTGTGATGTCACCCTCAGTCACGCTCAGGGTGGGGCCGATTGGGGGGTTGGGGCATCGCCCACTGTCACACTCAAGGCAGGGTCGATGGGGAGGTTGGGGAGCTCCCCCTTGTCACGCACAGAGCAGGACTGATCAGGGAGTTGGGGCACTACCCTTTATCATTCACAGAGCAGGGCCGATCGGGGTTTGGGGTGCCGCACCTTGTCATACTCAGGGCAGGGACCCCCGCCACCTTTTAGTGCAGCAGACAACACTCCGATCATCTGGGCCACAGCAGCCAGGGCTGGGTGAGGGGGAGATAGTTTTTGTTTTCAAAAGATCTCTGTGGTTTTTCTGAGGTGCCAAAGCCTGTGCCAGGCCCTGGGAAGTGGAGACAGAAATGGTCACTGCCCTCCAGTGCCCATCCTTCCTTAGGGCCTAAGCTCCTCTCACGCCCCCCCCCCCCCCAAAACACCCACCCCCACCACACCCCCGG